CTCCCCTCGCCCCCCAACTATGTCACTGTCTTAGGGTTGTCGGAGAGGACGACTTTTTCGCAGACCTGGGCATCAGCTACAAGGACTTCGACATGCCTGACGAGGTGGATGACTACTATGAGGCGAAGGAGAACCCGGACATCGCTAGTGACACGTGAGAACAGAAGACCAGAGAAGAGAAAAAAAGAGAAACCTGCCATGTCGTCTTGTACTGCAATGGAACTGGCCGGCCTTATACCGAGCACCCGACACTATTCAGAGGTTGAGACAGCTGGAATGTTCCGTCTGCGGCAAGAAATTTCACCAGCCTTGTGTCACGACGACGACCAGCCTTACTTGCGAGGCGTTACACAAGGATCACTACACTGCTACTGCTCCATGCCGTAGCGACATATCTCCAGCTCACGTTTTCTGATGGCTCTCTTCCCCTCCCCTCTCGGTCCCTCTCTTTCTTTCTCCTCCTGTTTCTCAGCGGTAAGCTGCGGAATGCGTTGCTGAAGCGAGCAATCGCTGACATCCCCATTATCCTGCGCATGCAGAACGAGGGGCCGGGCATCTACAACATGTACCAGCAGGCTATGATCGGGGAGAAGGAGTGGCACGCCTTCCAAGAGTGAGTGGAAACCCGCCATCACGTTTTTCGGAACGAAAATACACAAGTACTGCATGTCATGGTCTTCAGAATAAATAACTACCATCAGCAGTAGGTTGTTCGTCATGTTTTTCGAAAAAAAAAAACTACAATAGGTTGATGGCAAAAACAAAACTACGGTAGACTGTTCGTGATATTTGTCAGAAAAATAGAACACAACTTTTGAGACAGCAGCAGGTTGTTCTTGTTGCCCTCTGGACTTTTGCCTTTTGAAGTGATTTTGTTTCGGAGATGGATCCCTGTCACCACAGAATTTGCTTCGCAGGTTAGAGGAACAGTCTCTGTCACTCACGACTTCTTGTCAATTTCACTTCTGTGCTCCTCGGGTCCGGAGTTTCTGCATCAGAAGCACGATACGCTGCGTATCAAAGCTAAAGCCCTTTATCGGGTGTAGCAGAGAGCAATTTAGCATGTGCCAGTTCAAAACACACACTTGTTTTTCCAGCAGTAGCTGGCACCGGTGGTGACGACGCGCCTCTTAGTGACGTCACTTCTTGGTGTGATGAATAGCCTTGGCGCGGTATTGTAGCAGCATCACCAACCGGCGCTTGCCATGATCCGCATCGCTTCGTTGACCACCTATTATTTCCTTTCGCTCTTGCGTGCTGGTGTGGTTTGTTTCTGTGTACGCAGGGCGGAAACGATGATCTCGGAAGAAATCGAGTCGGTGCAGAACGAAGCGGACGAGATCGAGCCGGGGTGGAGCCAGTCCATCTGGCCCTTGGCGATGCAGCTTAGGCAAGATGTTACAGATGGAGCGCGAAAGAGAGACAGAGATAGATAGGAAGACAGACAGATAGACAGACAGACAGTGAGACAGACAGACAGACAGACAGACAGACACGTCGCTTCCTGCAGGAACCGACGACATTTTTCCGCTGCTGTAAACTCGTAGGGTCGCGAGCAGGTAAGGTTAACCTGTGGGTTGACTGGAGTTGTACATAGCAGCTCAACGTGTCATTGGCTCCTGGCTGGATCGGCCGCAGAATGGCGTTTTTTCCTCTCGCCCTCCTCGCGGAACATGCCGGTCATGGGTTCGATACCCGGCATGATCCGGGCTGACGGCGAGATGGAGTACACGATTTTGCGTCGGTTCCTGCAGGAAACGATGACATATTCCCGCTGTTGTAAACTCGTCAGATGGCGTACCATTGATGTGTGAGTCGACCCGAGTTTGTTGCAGCTTAGCAACGCCATGGACTCCTGCGGGAATGGGCGCAAACTTGTTTACTTGATGGTACCGTCCTCGCGGATCATGCCGGTGATGGGTTCGATAACCGGCATGATCCGGATTGACGGTGATATGAAGTATACCAGTTTTGCGTCGCTTCCTGCAGGAGCCGATGACATATTTTCCGCTGCTGTAAACTCGTCAGATGGCGTACAAGTACAGTTGATGCGTGAGTAACCCGAGTTTGTTGCAGCTTAGCAATGCCATGGGCTCTTGCGGGAATGGGCGCAAACTTGTTTACTTGATGGTACCGTCCTCGCGGATCATGCCGGTTATCGCACGCCGGTTATGGGTTCGATAACCGGCATGATCGAGACTGACGGTGATATAAAGTATACCAGTTTTGCGGCTTTTCCTGCAGGACCCGGTAACATATTTTCCGCCACTGTAAACGCGTCAGATCGCGGTTGGGTAAATTTGACGTGTGCGTCGACGGGAGTGTTGCTTTACCGTGCTCTCCCCCCTTTGACAAACCCCATGTATCGTCTCTGTTCTTCTGTGAGATGCACCCGTCTACACACCTAATTTTTGTGTGTCGTGAAGTTGAAAAGCACAAATCTGTTTTTTCACCTGCTCGGTTCGAAGACAGCAAACAAAAGCATATTTACGTGACGTGGTTTTAGTAAAATGTTTGGTGATTGAGGCGCTCAAGGTCGGACATTTATCGCCGCTATGCGTCCCGCACTGGCAGTGCTCGTGAACTACCGGTAGGAAAAGCCTTCAGGGCAAGCTTGTCCCATATGCCCTACGCGTTTTCTAGGGACCCCCTGTACGGCGGGGCAACAGGAGCAAGCGAGTCTGGTGTCTCCGCCCGCCGCCTGCTCTGTCTGGGCTGCCAGTTTATCGGCCCCCGTCGTTGTCGCTCATATTGAGAATGTCGGGCGACGAGACATTGGCAGGACAGATCAGAGTAGGCGACGGGCGGCGGCACCAAGCTCACTTACTCGTGTTGCTCCGCCGTACCGTGGCTCCTACACGTCCGAGGACATCTGGGAAATAGAAGCCAAGCCTCGGCTTTGGTAGCTCGGCCTTACGTGGCTATTGCGGTCTTCGCCCAAAGCTATGGTATGGAACCGCTGCGGTGAACCCGTGAATTGCACGCACAGGTGTATACATCCAACACCCGACGATCCTGCAGTTGAGTAACTATTTCTCCTCTCTCTCTCTCTCTCTCTCTCTCTGTCTCTCTGTCTCTCTCTCTGTCTCTGTCTCTCTCTGTCTCTCTCTCTCTCTGTCTCTCTCTCTCTCTCTCTCTCTCTCTCTCTCTCTCTCTCTCTCTCTCTCTCCCCCTCGTTTCGCCAACACGATCGAACAAATTTGAATGCAGAAATGTGCTGGTTAAACGAAGGGAGCAAGCAGAGGCAGCGGCGGAGAAGGCAGACGAGGAGGCAGAGGCGGCAGCAGCAAAGAAGAAGGCCGCGGGGGGAGGGGGTACGAAGGCGGCCGCATCAGCGACAGCAGCAAAGAAGGCGCCGGCGGCGGCAGCAGCGGCGAAGAAGGATGACGACAGCGACGACGACATGCCGGCCATCGACTGAACGTCCCCTGTTGTCGTATCCCCAGTTCCTTATCGTGCTCACAATGAGGGCTAGGTGGTAGGTGCCACGTACCACAGCTTTGTGAGGGAGTAGTTATGTCAGCTCTGCCGAGAGGGGATATATGGGGTAGGGCCTACGTTTTGATACGGACACTCATGGTGTTGGTTGTGGACGCGTTGTTGTATGTCGTCTTCTGTCGTCTTCGGTTTGTTGTGCGTCTTCCCTAATCTAGTGGTGTAGGCTAGCCGAGCTTACCCGATTATTTGTAAGCGCCAGCTATTGTCGCGCCCTGGTGTACTAGGTTGAACCCCTCACGATCGTGTTCACGATCGATCGTACTCAATGGTGTGTTTGAGGAGGCGGTTTTCTTGTCCACCAAGAAGTCAAGAAGTGTAGACATGAACAGTTGGAAGTAGCAATGTCGTCGACGACTAGCGATGTCGTGTCCTCAAATTGTCTTCTTCCTCACGGTGGTGGTCAGGAAGAGTGATGATAGAAGGCGGTTTTTGCCAAGTAGTGTACAGCGGCATTTTTTTTAGAGGGAACACGCGAACGGTTAGAAATGTCAAGCCGTCGACGATTCTTTCGATGCAAAGATGTGTAATCCGTACATACAAACACATAGATGTATGTGTGTTGGGGTTTGGTCGTGCCCAACCGACTTCAAGAACAGCGTTTTGTCACTGTGGGTGACATGCAGCAAAGCAGGTGTTGCCAGCTCGCTAAAGGCCACGGACAAGGAAGATACAGTAATGGCAAGGAAAGCAACACAATACGATATCTTCGTTTGTCCCACAGATCGATGTGTTTGCACGGCTGGCTCCCGTTTTCACCTTCCCGGATCGCGTTTATCGGTCATGAAGGAATTCTCAGATGCGTGCTGTGCCTTGTCTCGAAACCCCAGGCAAGAGACTCGCGGTATTTCTTTGACATGTTTCTTGCCCTCTGATTTGGCAGAGGACTGATGGGATAGAAGATATACTGCCCGCTCCTTATAATTCTTCGAGGGGGTAATCCAAGCCTTAACAGTGAGCTTCGAGGGAAATCTGCAAGATTACTATTCCGGACTCAGTTGAGTCAGTCTCCTTTTGAAGTCACTCCACCGGAGACCAGTGATGATGCTAGTCGTCGGAACTACAACAATTGGTAGGGATTGTTTAACTTTCTTAAACCCCTTTGAGGGTTTCAGTGAGATATCTGCGTGCGGTATGTCGACGAGGTTGGACATGATGCACCCAACATCTCTTGCACGCACGTTAAGCCACGCACATGTGTAGCGACACTCGAGCCCGAGGAACATACATCCCACTTGTTACAGCCTGATTATCGCATCTGGCTTAATAACTCTAGCGCAGATCGGAAGAAAAAGTCCTTCCATATGACTGTCTTCCCTGCCGGCGGTGACTGGTTGATCTCACAACGCCACTTAGCCGAGCTAACGTTCAGTTGTATAGAGCTACAGCAGTATTGAAGAACGCCTTCGTTGGGAACATCGCAGAATGCCTTCGTAAGGGGACGAACTTCGAAGGATCGATCATTTTATATTTCCCTCCTTCGAGGTAAGTATAAGTTACGACAGGCCCAGGGCTAGCTGGCGCCACTACTGACTGTTGTCGGTGGGCCGCAGCAAGGTGTCGAAGTCGATGTGCGGCTCGTAGTGTGAGACGGCAAGCCGCACTCGTACTTCATCCTCCTTGTGAAGCTTCGGTGTGTAGCTGCGGGGTGGAACCAAGAAGCACACAGCAGCAGGAAATGCAGCACCAAGCGAGGAAGGTTAAATACATTAAAATGACTCTAGGTCGAAGGAAAGGGGAGACACGACAACAAACATCCCTAAACTCTCTCTGCACAGGTACTGCATGTGTTCGTTGGATTATTCAAAGCTCGACTGCTCCACAACCTTAAGGCTGCCAACGCCGACTAACGCGTGCAAGTAAAGCTCTCGACGAGATTTTTCCAAAGGCACTCGTCTTGACGTTGGCAGCCTCTTGGTGATGGAGCAATCGAGTCTGCTTCAAAAAACGATCGCACACCAACCTCCGCATTCGCCCGCACATTTTTGTTCACAGAAAATGGAACGAGAAGAACGACGGAAGAATGAAGAGCCGCATCATTCTCCTTGCTGTTGACGAACACCTTTCTTTAGACTATGCTTCTTTTTCGAGGAGAAACAATGCATCTATCTCTTCCTCTCCACGCTTCCTGAGGTAAAAAAATAATCGAGGATCCATCTATGGACTACGGTGAGAGGTCAATTTCGGAAATACCCCCGCTTGGCGACGCACAGCAAGACATGAATTATTTGACATTTGCGCCTACCGACGCTCAACAGCCTACATGTAGACCATCACCGCGGACGACGTCCACGGAGGTCCATGGACAATTCCGTGTGTCATGACTCATGCGGCTCAAATCCCAGGGACCGCCTACGCGGGGACATTTTTGTGAATCTAAGATACAGAGAGGGGGGTGTCGTTTTCCCTATCCCTAACCCTAATCCCCAGCCTAACCCCGTACCCCCTACGAAAACCAAGATTAATATTCATGCGAAGGCTAGTTAATCCCAGAAAAAGGGATCCCAACCTGTTTGAACTGCTGTTGATTGTGCACAACAAGAGGAATCTGCGCGTCTACCTTGTTCGTACTGTCGACTAATTGTCCGCCCGAAGCGCAAGCAATCCTGGCTGATGGCATCCTATTCACGGCATCGAAAATTGATCGCATCGAACGCTGATCGAAAGTAAGTGGTTAATGAGCAACTATTCTCGCCTTCGTATCCGATCCATGGTGTCAAAAGTAGAGAGGTTGCTGACGATGACCGGGATGTCGTGCATCTTTAGGAGTTCCTCCACGTAGTCCATCGGTCGGAGATCTAGCCCCGTCAGCACCATGGCCCCGCGAAAGCTGTGCCCACGCTGTTTATCAACATTATTGCGTCCCGGAGGCACGTACAACAGTAAGAGTCCGCAATTAAGAAAACCTCAGGTCGGGCCACCCGTGCCGGGGCCAGGCTCAAGTTCTTGTTTCATCCGCCACCGTCGAGCACAGGTTGATATCGTAAGGGTGTGAAGGTTGGCACAAGTGTGCGATCGACCTTCAAAATGTTTCAAACTGGCTTCGCCATCGCACAGGTGTGACGTCTCCGTGCCTGCGCCGTATCTCTCCGGCCCCTCTCTGTGAAATCGAACTACCGTATATGACACAAGATAACACACCCCCTGGACCGATTTTCAAAGCTCGACTACTCCACGACGAAGAGGATGCATAAACGAAACGATACATTTTAGAAAAGCTCTCAACGAGACGGTTTCAACGCCGCCGTTTTCGGCGCTGTGACTGTTCCTGCAGTTGAGAAATCGAACTTCGACAAATGGTCAAGGGGGTGTGTTATCTTGTGTCATATACGGTAAACGTCGTACTGGCACCATCCCTACACGCCATCTTAGATACCGACTAATCATCCAACGCCTTCCCGATAATGCTGTGTTCGACACTTGAAATTTTTGTCATGTACAACAACGTAATCAGAGTCCGGACTTGGCATCAAAAAACATGTCTTACTTGTGTAGTATTTGCGATATACCTCTTTGGAGTTTCGTGCGTGAGCCAGAAACCCGAGCACGATGTCGTCCCTGGTACAGTGGGTCACCACCAAAGGGTTTGGTGGAGCACATTCCAGCTTCTCGAGGAAAACGTCCAGGGCTGCGGTAATGGGGGGGCGGGGGGGGTACTTATAGTCGTGCATGCCGTAGTCGTTAGACCGTTGACCTCGCATCTGCGGTGGCGCAAAAAAAAAAAAGGTCCCGTCATCACGAGATGCGGGAAAAAGCAACAAAAATAACCATGAGATAACGAACAATGCAAGCTCCTTATAGTCGTGCATGCCGTAGTCGCAAGACCATTGACCTCGCATCTGCGGTGGTGGTGCAAAAAACAAAAAAAGGCCCCGTCATCACGAGATGCGGGAAAAAAGCAACAAAAATAGCCATGAGGGAACGAACAATGCAAGCTCCCGTCCGTAATCAGGAGATGGACATGTGGAAAGAATAAATGACACAGAAGAACCAAAAGAGGACGAAAAAAAACGCACAAGGCATCACGAGATGCGGCGGCGGTGCATACATACCGCTGTCCGTCTGAACGCACAACCAACAGACGATCGATGTGGAAGCAAACAAATACAAGAAAAAAGCATCATACCGCCAGAGATTTTGTAGGCAAGAGAAAGTAGAATAACAAATATTCGAGCACCAGTGGCCGCTAGATGCGTGTCCTTGATGCTGTAGTGAGGTTGTCTCCGGTTCTCGAACCCCGCCAAGAGCTTTGTCTTGAAAATCTTTTCCAGATCGATCAACGATGGTCGTGCGAGGTACGGCTCGTCGGGCACAACGCCCAACAGGGGGACATCCCAGCTGCGCAGCGAAAACACCAAAACAATCGAAGAAGGGAGGAAGTTCCGTACCAAAGCTCACGTATAGTATGCCCGGTTATTCTGTTGAATTCTGTGACGCTTCCACAACCCTGCCCGACACTTGCAACTCCTCCACAAAACACACCCGTTCGAAGGGTAGTTTAGGCCGAGATGTGGACAAGCTAGCACGCGCTTACCACGTTGAAGGACGAGCGAAACAAGGAGTTCCCCAGTGTGGACGGTCATCTACAATACCCTTGACAAGACAGCGGTTTGGGGCTTTAAACATGCAGACGGACTGAATGACAAGAGAGCAAAAGTGCTGCCAGTCCAGTTCGTTGCTAGATTGCGTTCCCGTCCGAACTATCCGTCGCGTAAGCGCCGCATCTCCTCTAGCAAACAGTAGTGCGGACCCGCAGTTTCGAAACAACGCGTAGAGAAACGGAGATTGAAAACAAAGATAGCTGCGTTTTAGATCCACAGCTTAGCCCGAGGATCTTACTCTGCTGTATACTCAATACAATAGCATGTACTTGACGGTGGTGACGAGATGAGAAATTGAACCTCGATCAGATTTTCCCGTTTCCTATCTGCGGGGCCGCACTGCTGTACGTTTCCCATCCCCGCCACCCTCTAGTTTACCATGTGCGGAAGCGTCAAGGAGACTCGAGGGACAGCAAGGAGTCTTCCAAACATCTGCAGAACAAAAAAATAAGTACGAAGTGAGCATCAAGGCAACAATATATAAAATCCTACACGAGGCACGTAGTAAGAATCATGGAGCGAGATAGTAATAGGTGGACCTTTTAAAAAATTCGGCTTCGGGTAGTTACAACGCAGCTGACGCGAGCCCGGCCCATGATTATCGGGCCGGGTGGCAGTGCCTGAGACATCGGCGCACTGCCCGATTGCCCGGCGCCCGCCCGGCCCCCAGCGCCCGCGCCGTAGGCGCCCAAACGCGCCCGGCACTGACTCTTTCTATGGAGGCGCCGTCCCTAGCCGAAAAAGCCTCCTCCTCTTTTCCGGGGCCACTTTCCCGAAGAAAAACAAGGCCTGCACGCGATGACGTGCTCAACCTTCAACCCAGCACGTCATCGCGTGCAGCGAACACAATACCCACCCACATCGTCCCAAGCATCGCAGAAAAGTGAAAACATGTCGATCTCTCTCAACACAAATATACGGTAACGGGCAAAAGTCGTCTGCCGGCGCATCCTCTTCCGCCCCTCTTAAGGCTACGGCGGGGTGCAGCTCCTCCCGGAGGAGAGGTGTCGACGAATTCCACCAAGCCCCAGCAATCACTTCTTGGATTTTTGGGGCGCCATGGATTCGCCGACAGCCCCCCCCCCAGGAGGCGCTGCACGAAGCCACAGGCAGAGGAAGGGTGAGGCAGGAGCCAGCAGCGGTAGAAGCAGCAGAGGAAGGATGGAGCATGGGTAGCAGCTTGGGCGTGGGCTGTTGAGTTGACGATGATGCGCCGGCAGACGATTTTCCCCTTGTCGAGGTCAAGATGTTGGTACTTTCGCAGTACTTTAGAACATCCTTGAGCAAGACTAACGTAGTTCCCAAACGCGTGGACTAACGACAACGACAACAGCAGTAGTGACAGTGATGGCGACAGCTTCACTGAGCAATCGTAGAACACTCGAGATAGGCATCGGTTATACACATACCTCTCGAGCAGCTTGCCGAAGTACTCCTTGACCATTTGAAGCTTGCCGGGAACAACCTGCGAGACAAGAGAAACAGAGAAAAATACAAAAGAGTTTTTCATGATGTGTGTGAGAGTCAATTGTACCGAAAGGAGGTCGTTCCTCGAACAAGGAGAGTCGACGAAGGTCGTGTGTGGCGTCGAAACGCTCTGCATCCGAACAACATCCTTTTGGAAGGCTGAATACCTCAAGAGCCGATAGTTGTAGGCATACGATTTCCTTCTTTTTGTGCATCTTTCCTTTCGTACCCAATGATATACCCAACCAACCTGAGCCATCTCACAACCCGCTTCCATCCCCCACTCACCATCATCACGAACCCCTCACTCACTGAAGCTGAATATCGCTAACCTATCACATCAAGAATTCCTCCCCGCCCCTCCCCTGCCCAGAAAAAAATCACCCCCAGTCCTTGCAGCTGAAGTTGACAATGGTTCAAGCCATCACATCGCGACCCCGGCGAGCGCTCGCGCCCAGAATCACCTCAAAAGACATTTTCCCGCGTCACGAGATCAGCTTGATACCTTGTTGAGCACGACCCCTCGAACTTTGATGCCGTACTTCTCGCAGATCCCTCTGTTGAGCTCCAGCTCGTCGTATGCGGACCCCAGACCACCGTTGGCGACCAAGATCATGTCAGCGTTCAGCGCCTTCGCCACCTGAGGGCCAGGACAGCGGCAGGCAATCACGTTAAGAATTGCGTGTAACGGTATTGAAATGGAGGGCAGTTGATGATGGTGACGATAGCGCGTTGGGTGCGTTCGTCACCTCGTGACCAAGACGGTGGCAATCGCGTTCGAATTGTAGCGGTATTTAATGCAGGCTGATGATGATATTGACGATAGCGATGATGACAAGGGCATGCGCAACCTCGGGGCTGACGGCTCGGGAACTCTTCCCTTGCAGTTAGAAAAGGCGAATACAACACCCAACA